GTTGGACACAATGACTTTATTTTATTTATTTATCTTTGTGTGGTGCTGAGGATCAAACCCAGTGCCTTGCAAGTGCTAGGTGAGCGCTCTACTGCTGAGCCACAACTCCAGCCCCTTGTTTGCTTGTTCTTAAGAAGCCCCCAGCTGTTATACTTTTAATTTCCTCCCCTGCTTGATGAGTTCCCAGCAAGCTTTCCATGACCACAGTTACTAAGATAATATAATTCTAATAGGATGTCTAATAGGAACAAGGCTGCATCATGCTAACTGCTAGGCAGAATTATGATCAGGCTCCGTTTATTGAGGGGGGGAGCAGTGACTTCTTTGAAAGCCAGATTTGTCCCCTCTAACAGCCGAGTGCCTCTCCCTGTCATGTCTCCTAGGAAAGAGCCGTTTATCAAATAGAATATGGGCCCTTCAGGGAAATCTGAGAGAAATTCCAGTCAGGATCCTCCTCAAAGTCTGCCCCTGCAGTGACGGTATTCAGTTGTGCCTTCTCGCAGTTTAAGTTAGGTGATTCTCCCTGGGTCACCTCTTTACAGAAAAAATTCTAAGGTTACCCTAAAAATACTTCCCACTAATGTGGTCCTTGGTTTTCAGTTAGCCTTCTATCCCACAGCCACCACTGCCACAAATTAGCTGAAGTTCTCTGGGCCTGCCAGAGGTCAGGCCTGGGTCAGGTCCCAAAGCTCGTCTTTCCATCTGTGAAAGGGCAACGGTCTGAGAGGGGGAAGCTCTACAGCTAGACAAGACTGGATTTGAATTGTAGCTCTGTCACTTACTCATTGAGTGACCTTGGGCAAGTTACTTAGTTCCTCACGTGGCAGTTTGTCTCTGTTAGTGGGAGACAATAACAATGCCAATATCACAGGATGGTTGGAGAATTAGGAGAACTAAGCACTTGGCACCAGGCCTGCACATCACTAGTGCTCAAAAATTACTGGTGGAGCATTGTTAACCAAATATCTAAAAAATAGTGATAAGAAGACAAACTATTGCAACAACAACAACAAAAAAAATTAGTAGTGGATGGGTCGGGGGTAGCTCAGTGGTAGAGTGCCTGCGTGAGGTCCAGGGTAAGATCTTCCACACTGAAATACTGAAACAAACACACACACACACACACACACACACACACACACATACACATCAGTGTGGTGAGGATGGTAGTTCTATTGTTAATGTGTGTGTAGGGTTAACCAATCTGATTGCCCCTTGATCTCCCAAGCATCAGCCAAGCCCTTCTTCTCCCATGAGTTTGTGGCTACATAAAGCTCAGTCCTCAAGACCACTTGAGGGAGAGGGATGATGGATATGGCAAGGAGAAGGAAGAGTCTGGTGGTAAGTGAAGGTAAAAGGTGAGGGAAATAGGTGGAGGCTCAATTCCAAGCCTTTCTCTGTCCTCTTTCCTAGGATAGATGGCTTAGATCTTCCATGAGCATGTCTCAAAGGGAGAGCTCCCATTCAGGGCAAATCTACCCCCTCAGTTTTAAACAATCTGGTCACATAGACTGGGATGCAGATCAAGAATTTAGGGTCATTAGTGGAAGGGGCTGGTGACCTGCACATTGGCCATTGAACATGTTTGGCTGCCGAAGGCCTTTGGATCTTCTGCTTCCAGGAGGCCCAGGAGGGCCTGGAGGGCCTGGGGGTCCAGGGGGTCCAGGTGGGCCTTGGTCACCTTTGGCACCTGCAAAGACAGAGAAGAAGTGAGGAGATAGAGAATGAAGAGGGAGAACAATTGATAAAGAGTTATCAACAGAGATGGGGTTTCACATGAGGGAAAGGACAAGGGAGCAGTTCCGGGGGGCCCACTGAGCTCACCCCTTCCCAGAGGTGATCAACTTGGCACTTATCTCTGCTGAGTTGAGGAGCCACCATAGTAGGTATTGAGGACCCACTATGTGCCAGGAATTGTGCTAAGAGTCTTACAGATCTCCACCTCAGTCTCCCAAACCACTCCTCTCAGAAGCTGGAGTCTCAGGGATGCTGAGTGATCTGCTGAGGTCACAGCCTGCAGAGAGCTGGAACTCAGCTTCAGCTGTCACAGCATAGCTCCTCCTTTGAACAGGCTCATGTCAGTGGGTCTCAGCCCTAACTGCTTGGTGGAACACGGAAGATTGTGGAACACAGAATGATGGTTTCAAAATTCTGAAGCCTGGGCCCCATCCTGACCAATCAGAATGTTGGGAGCAGGTTGGCCTCTGTATTTTTAAAAGCTTCCTCATATGCAGCCAGGTATGAGAGGCGCTGCTGTGTGAGGGAGATGAACCAGGAGCTCCTTCAGCTCTGCTTCTGTTCAGCTTTCTGACTTTTTAAACCCTTCTGAGAGCCATTTCTTCGTCTCTACATTAAGTCTCATGGTCCCTGTCCTGCCCTGTGAGAACCAATGAGGTCACTGCTATGATGATTTGACAGCTGTAATCTTGCCCACGGATAGGCAGTCACACCTTGGTCTTTAGATGGTCAGCGAGGGTGGTTGCCCTTTGCAGGGGTCACTGGTTCTGGAGAATTCATAAAGAAGCCACTCTCTGGGCTGTTCAGCCCTTTTGTTCTAACTTCCAGTGTTGAGACTGTAGAGATCAAGTCTCTTTAGCTGCCTCTTCCCAGCCAGACCATGTCAGCCTTTTCAGTCTTTCTGGAGTGAACAAGTGGGGGACTGCCGGGGCTGCAGATGGGTCTATGACCACTGTGGAAGGGGCAGAGATCTGTAGGTAGAATGGACCTGATCCAACCCTCCTGCCCCTTCTCTACTCCACTGAGGGTGCACTGAGTTCTGTCCTATTCCTTTTGCATTGGGTAGAAGGATGGTACTTTTCTGAATAAAAGGTTTGTCACCCCTCACTTATTCAGCAGTGTAGAGAATTCTGGATGTATAGATTTTCTGTGTGACTGAAATGTATTTCAAATATATGTATTTTCATATATGACCCTTTCAGACCCTCCTTAAAGTTTACCTGTTGTGCCTAGCAACATCCCTTGTTTATAAAACAAAGTACATTAAACATGACTTGATCTTCCCCTGGTGCTTTGGCCTTTTGCCTGGCAAAGAGTAGGCATTCAATCCATCGTGCCTGGGTGGCTGTCTGGCTGGCTGTGCGACTGACTTGGGATCATTATTGTGAATATTTATTACCATCCTCGATTCTTGAGGACACATACTGTGCCTTGCTTACTTTCATATTCATAGTTCTAGCTACTGGCAGAGTTCTTGATTCATGGATGGTATTCTGAGATACTCAATATATGTGTATTGAGTGCATTAGTAGAAAGTTATGTTTTCATGATATAGATGGTTTCCAAAGTACTGTGATTTCAAAATTCTTCTGCATCTCGTCCTCCATGACAATCAACTCCTTCTACCATGTGATTATCTGTGGGGTGATGCCCCTAAGCTTCCTTCCACACAAGTGCTGACTATCACTTTCACTCTGGACTAGAAAATCAGCCATTGAATTTTGCCCAAATTCTCTGTTAAGTGGTTTAGATGGCTATAGCTTGACTGTGAAGAAAATGCTTGTGACCTCTGTCAATTGTCACTGGAAGTCTCTAGAGTGGCTTATTTACTTGTTGCTGGATTTCAATAGATATTTGGAAAAAGGAAACTTCCTTCAACCCATTCAATCTAACTATGGCTTTTAGACCTAAGTTATTTAAATGACTCATACTTAGATCTCAGATCTGGTCTTGCCCACATGGAGAAACAGGTACCGCTTTCTCCTCTTTAAAAGTACAGAATTCCAGAATCTGCTGCAAAACAGAGGACTATGGAAGGACAATAAAGAGAGAGGACACAGAATAACAGTTGAGCTGAAAGCCAGCGAGGTCTCTGAGCATGTGTGCCCTTGAAGGGAGCCAGAGAGCACTCCTCCTACCTGCCAGCAGTACATCGTTGGACACATCTCCTTTGTCTCCTTTTTCACCCTTCTGTCCTGGTGGGCCCTCATTTCCTGGTGAGCCCAGTTCGCCAGGGTCTCCCTTTTCTCCCTTTTCCCCTGGATTTCCTGTGGCTCCAGGAAGCCCTGAGGGAAAGGAAATGACATATTAGCTTGTTGTGCAATAGATTCCTGGTACACCACTTTGTACTTTATCCTTTGGGGTAAAGCAGCTCTGAATCAAATCTTAGAGCTGAATAGAATCCTTCATAGCCATTTTAAGGCAGAAAAATGGCTGTATATACACTAAAGAATTGTGTGGGTGTGTGTGAACATGGGCACACTGCACATTGAACCCAGAGGTACTTTACCACTGAGCCACATCCCTGACTCCTTTCAGTTTTTATTTTAAGACAGGATCTCCCTGGGTTGCTGAGGGCCTGACTAAGTTGCTAAGGCTGGCTTTGAACTTGCAATCCTCCTGCCTCAGGCTCCCAGATCGCTGGGATTATAGGCGTGCCCTGTAAAAGCAGAAATTTCACCCACTATCTTTTACTGCTTTTACTTATGGAGAGCCATGGATATAGGAATTACCATCCTCTCACACACAACTAGAAGTCTTTCAAGATCTGAGTGACGGTATGTCTTCGCATAGACCATGGACAGGACAGGGCACCCTAGATCATTCCAGCTTACTTCTGGGAAGTAATTCCCAGTAGCACAGGGAGGTAAAAACCAAAACAGACTAGCAAAATCCCTGAGTTGAGTAAAGCATCAGTTTGGGGAGATGGACATGTCTAGAATTTGCTAGATAGGACAGCAGAGAGGAGAGAGCTGTGTTGTAGAAAATTACAGAGAAAACAACATGGAAAGAGCTTTTCATAAGGAAGTCTGGAGGCCATGAAGGGAGCAGGACTTAGCTGTCACCTGGTCACATCCACCCTCTGATCTGAAAGTATCTGGAACAATAAGAAGGAACAATTATATTATGCTCAGAAGCTCAATATACATATCAAGAGGTAGGGGACTCTTGTTTTCTGGACATTTCCATGCTATTTATACATTCTTTCCTTTATCTTCTATCAGCCCAAAGCCATTGTTCCTTTTCAGTACCCACTAATCTAGACAAGCTCCCACCTTTCTTGCCTTTCTCAGAAAACTGATTCAGAGCTATATCTGAACCCATCTCCCGAGTTGCAATTCCTAAGACCCCAAATAAAGTCCTTTTACTCTTACAGTTCTGAGTTTGGATTGATTGGCAGCAGAAAGATCACTGGGGATCTGCAGAGGACTTCCATGAGTCTCTGGCTATTTGATGACCTGTGCAGGGTAAAATTCTACAGACCCAGGAAGAGAATTCACAGTTCAGTATGCAATTCTCAGAGCCCACACAGTGAAAAGTTCTCATCCCATCAAAGTGGAGAGACCCATAAAGTTATGGAATAGGAACTGAAATTTTCTGAAGAAGCCACATCTGTATGAAAGATCCTTCAGCCTCTTCCACCTGTGCCGAGAAGAACACTGTGATTGTGAAGAGATGGAATGTCACATGTCCAGAGCCAACTTATTTTAGTCTATTTTAGGCCCTTTAGAAAAATAGCCATTTACTCATCTTTTGTATCTGACCTAACATTCTCCTATCAGGTAAATTTCTTGGAATGTATTGTTAAGGTCAGCAGATCTCTAGCCTCCCCCAACCCTAAGGCGAAGAATGCTGTAATAACATCTGAAACCTGCAGAAATATTTTTCCACTTCACTATAGCCCAACCACTTCATGCCCCACACATGGCTCTAAAACTTTATATATAACCTCTTTCAAGTCAGAGTGCATCACTCAGGGTAACTTGAATTATGTTCCCAGACCATGGTCACTGGTATTTTTCTCAGAATAATTTTTTTTTAAATTTCCTTGTTATTTTATGTTGGCAGGTATATTAGATCTTGGAAAAATCATGTATTAGTAATGGAGCTAAATTAGCCCCAGGGTAAAAACTGCTTGGGGACCATTATTACAGAGTTTAAAACCAAGGTTAAAAGGATCAGAGATATTTGCAAGTAATTTCACTAACTGCCTGAATAGACTCCAAAATTTAATCTCCTTAGTCAATGTAACTTGGATATTAACATATTAAGCAAGAAAAAATTATACGATCATCTCAACGGATGCAGAAAAGGCATTTGATAAAATTCAACAATCATTCCTAATAAAAATTCTTATCAAACTAGAAATAGAAGGGAATTTCCTCAGTCTGAAAGAGGGCACTTGTGAAGCCTATAGCTAGTGTCACCTTTCCCAGAAAGAAAGAAATGTGTTTCCCCTAAAGTCAGGAACAGGACTCGGTACCTACTCTCATCATTTTGATATAACATTCAACAGGAAGTCCTAGTGAGTGCAATAATGAAAGGAAAAAGAGATCAAAGTCATGTTAATTGGAAAGGATGACATAAAACTGTCTTTATCTGCAGCTGACGTGGCTGTTCATGTAGAAGATTTCAAGGTATCTATAAAAAAGCTAGTAGAACTCATGAGTACACAGGTATCCAGGCCCTGAGAGGAAAAGTAGTTGCATAATATTGTACAAAGACATTGCTAGATATGGATCAATGAGATACCTTATCTCAGGAATATTTGTCCATTTTGATAAGAGTCACCTAAGTGGTTTAACAATGACACTGCTCAAAGTGACAGAGATGTCAGGCAACAAAGAAGAGCCAGAGGCATTCGTTAATGCAAGCAAAACTTCAATTCCTTTCCTCATCTGTAATCAAGCCAACTTTGTCTTCTCTGACTGCTCTGTCAGTTCCTGTGCCTTCTTTAGGCTCTAAGTGACTGCCCATTTGTTCATATAGTATACCCCATTAACCTGAGCAATACCCATTTTCTAACTGTTATCCTCTGGCATTGCAAATATCCTCCCTCCAGTTTTAAAACCATATCTGACCCAGCACTATTGGGGTACAATCTAATTGTCCCAAGAGAATGCAGAATTTCATGCAGGAAGGCACCTTAGAGGTCATTTAGATCAACCTCCCAGCCAATCCTCAAAGGCTCTCTCCCAGCTGGCTCTTCTCCAGGTTGTTAAATGGTGGGGAGCACATCACAACCCATCAGTTTGTACTCAAATGCTCTTTCTGCCATTGAAGTCAATTGTTCCCTCAAATGTAAATCTGGATCTTTTATTACCTTTCATTGACTGTAGACAAGTCATAAATATCCAAAATGGTTTCTGTCTTCCCATATTCAACAGACTATCCATAGATCATCCCAAGTAAGGCAGCAGTATATGAAAGAATCCCAAGGTATTGATCACTGTCAGTAAGTATAGCAAACAAAGAAACATTTGCTAGATTTCAATCAACCATTAAAAAAAAAAAAAACTTTAGTGAAAACCATAAAATTCAACTATGGCTGGAAGCTGGAAGACCCATGGTCACTGCTTCTGCCAGAGGTGAATCTGGATGACATCATGCCCTGAGGGAGCTGCAGTGTGTCCCTTGGTTGTTAGTACTTCCTCTGGTGTGGACTTAATACTATAGTAAGAAGAAAAACAGTTGGGGCTGGGGCTGGGGCTGGGGCTCAGCGGTAGAGCACTCGCCTAGCATGTGTGAGGCGCTGGGTTCGATCCTCAGCACCACATAAATAAATAAAATAAAGGTATTGCAGCCAAATACAACTAAAAAAAAGAAATATATTATTAAAAAAAGTAATGCTTATTACTGAGAAAGGAGTCATCTCTTGCAACAGCTTCCCTGCCCACGGTCACTAGGTCCACTCACTTGACAAGAGCTCTTATGCAGGGCCCTCTACATGAGAAGATGTTTCCTTTGTCAGTATTTTAAATAGGCAATTTGGCACATTATCTGAAGGAGACAAAAGATTAGGACGTTGCCATAGAGTCCAGCCTGCACAATGCGCCAAGTGCAACCGATCCCTTCTAAAGGTCTCACATGACCCAGATTTAGCAGAGCTCAGGGAAATGGTATCTGCTGGTTATACCAAGGTTTTCTTTTTCAGTCATTTATTCTACACAAAGAGCCTTTCTGCATCATCATCCGATTTCCCCTTCCTTTCTTTTATTACTACCTCTTATGTCTCTTATTTTCTTTGTCAAAAAGGCCATATGTGAAGCCGGGAAATGTTCCAATTGTAATGAAGCGTGGTAAGGCAGCTCCCACAGGGACAGGTATTTATTTAAAGCTGATAAAGCTCTTTGCTTAAAGGTGTTTTTGCCTCTTAGCTGGGGTGTGCCTTGCCATTTTTAAGCTCTTGTTAAGAGGTAGAACGTTTGCCTACCTACAGTCTGCCTTTGCCCTCTTGCCCACCAACGTGTCTGACAAAGCATCTCCTTGTCTTTGTTAGCAAAATCACTGTGGCCAATGCATGTTGGAAATAGAACTCCCCCAGTCACCATGCACCATCAGAGGACTTCTGTGCAACACTTTCTACTCTGACTTCAGCAAAGGTCAGGACTGCGAGGCCTGCACGGTGACACCATCGTATTCTGTGATCTGGACCCTGGTATATTTTTTGCCCTGGCACTCCTGGTTGGCTCTGAATGAGCACATTCAGCTAGAGAAGAAAGGCTGGATTTTGCCTGCCTAACTTCTGTCCTAGAAGTGGCTGTCTGCTATTTTTCTTCTGGTGTCGCCTACTCAAAACAAACATCTCCATCAGCATTGGAACTTGGGGTTGTAAGAGAGCTCCAGCTGGAGTCAACTCCATCGTCTTCACTACAGGGGGTGAGGGAGGACATTTTATTTTCGGCAGTACCATCTGTGACTTAAGGGGGGGGAAGGAGGCCAGAGGGTGTCATATAAAACTAGTCCCAAACATGAAGAAGGAGGAGGGCATTTATTTCTGTTTCTTATATGAGCATTTGATTTTTATAGAAGACATTGCAGCATTCACTCTTAAGTGAGAAAACAAGAGACAGATGGAAAATAAAGAAAATGCTTGATTTTGAGGCACGAGAATGTCAAACTTCATAGAAGATGCTAGTTGCACAACTGACAACAGTTCAGTCTCTTTGGGTTCCAACTCTCCTCTCCAAACCTAAGTTCATGTTTTCACATGCATGCAGGATAGTTCCTCTTCATTTCCTTTTGGTCAAGACATGATGTTAAGTGAAACAAAACAGACACAGAA